AGTAGCTATAATTTCTCTAGGAGATCCCATTTTATTGTGTGGTTTATGATTAATCACAGGTAATTTTAGGTAGCTGGAACTTTTGGCTTTTGACCACAAATCAGAAAATGAAACTGAATTTTAATATCAGTTGAATTACATGGTGATTATTTAGTGTATTTTGGTCAAATTAAGGACGTCTAGTAGGATTTCTCTATCCATTTTTATATTTCACTGACCTTTCTACCAACAAAAAATTCCCAACATTTTAACCTGACCCACTTGGGGGAAGTTTAAGCTCATTACTTCCTATTCTTTCCCAAGCCCTTAAAAAAGTCTTGCCACACTGAAATAGTGGGCAATTGTCTGCAGTCTGAGAGAGCAGGCAGCCAGCATCGTTCACATGACTCAAACGTGGCACAGCCTTTTGTTCTTCTGATATGACTGTAACTATCAATGTTAGAAATTTCTGAGTGTATCCAGAGTGTGAAATTGGGGCTCTTTATAATTCCATTAGAGGCAAATGAAGCATTCTAAATGTATGGTAAAAAAAAAAAAAAAAAGTAAAGCGAAAATTAGTGTCAGTCATTCCCCACCCTCTTAAATTCCTACACATGATCCCAAGATAGATGTTCACTTTTAAATATTCTGCCTTGAGATGGATGTAGCTAGCTAAAGATGTGAGTTCAAGACCCATTTTGGATAAGAACTTGGCTTGTTGGGGCTTTGCTGTAGGGTCTCTCAGTTTATTCTTCAGAGTGTTGTCAGGGGTCAACTTTAGATCATTGTCTAAACAGGCAATTTTTGTAGGTAGCAGTAACATCTTGGAAGGGGCCCAGTTCTCTCACAGTGTGTCTGCTTCCTTTGTCTCCTTAGAGGGGTGTGGGGTAGGGAGATCTTCCTTTTAATTTGCTCATTTACCCCTAAAACTCAGCCCATGTTGTGACGGTCTAATTATTGCATCAGCCATGTCATCTTTATTAGGGAGATAAGATTTAGCAGTATCTGAAATCAAAACACTTCTCATGCCAGGTTTCAATCCATTGTAGACCTTAAATCAAAACATTATCACTGTCTGAACTCAAGGAAGGAAGAAAAAAACACTTTAATTCAATAGCCTTTAAAGTTTATACTCAGGGTGGATTTTGCAGAGCATATAAAAAGACAGTCATTACCGGTGAATTATAGTAAATACAGCAACTATGTTTGCAAAATAAAATTTTCCTTTCTCTTGACTGCAAATAAAAAATTCAGAGAAGGAAGAAAAAGGAAAATTTACCTCATGTTTTAGCACTCAAAGATAAACACTGTTACCATTTGGGAGAATTTTATTCTTTTTTTGTTTTGTTTGCTATCTATATATGTTTTTTCTATATAAATCATATGTATAATTTTCAAAACTTAATACAACCACCAATTGACCTTAAGAGTGTAATGTCATATAAAGTTAGTCTGAGTCATACATAATGAATTTATGACTCTCACAAAGGTGCTAAGATTAGTTTTTTCCCCTGGATAACACTTAAGTAGGAAACTTAGAATATAATGTAAGGATTCACCATTCCTTGAATTATCTTACTTCAATTTCTCAAAACAAGACTTGCCCTACATTTTTGTGTTATGATTAAATCTCGGATTGAGATTTAATTCTTCCAAAAATGAGGGTCCAGTATATGACCATAAACATGAACTGTTATAAGAATATAGATGGTTGATATAAGTTAGAGTCATCCCATTTAGCCGTCCTCTACGAATATTATTTTATGGTGTTTTGATTTATATTGATTAGGAATGATAAAGGGATACACTTTTCCTACCAAAAAACTGATAATTATTATTTTTCTCTTTCTTACCGCTATTCCTTTTTTTCCTCAAGCTATTCCAATAGAAACAGCTAAGCAAAACCCTAATGTCGCTTTGGTCCTTACTTCTCATGGAGGCCATATTGGTTTTCTGGAGGGAATCTGGCCAAGGCAGTCTACTTACATGGATCGAGTCTTCAAGCAGTTTGTGCAAGCCATGGTTGAGCATGGACATGAACTCTCTAACATGTAGTTCTCTTCAGGTGCATTTTGTGTGAACCACCATTGTAAAGGCAGCTCAGCTTAGTGCACAAATTTTAACTACTGTATGTAAAGCAAATAAGCCAGCAAATGGGTGAAGAGGTCCAGAATGATATGCAAAAACTACTTTTTAGGGAAACAAAACTTTGTAGCAAGACATTAAATATAATATTAGATTGTTATTTATGTAGATTTTATTTTTACTATGCCTTACCAAGTATGACCTTAAACAAAGTAGTACATACATGAAATTGCACTTAACCAAAACTATTGTGTAAAAAAATTTTAATTCCTCAGGGTTTTAATTTAGGCTAGTATTTTTTTAGATTACTCATTTTAGGTGATTTAATGGTACTTTAATAACTGTTAAGAGACTGGTTATGTGAATGTAAGTTATAAGGTGGTACATTCCTAAGGGTATTTATACTTGATAACATGAAAGCCGAAATTAGATAAAATACAATGTGATAAATATTTTATGTGTTCTAACCTTAAAAGGCAAGTGCAACAATGTTAGACTGACCCCTATATGTGCTCTTTTACTCCGATAATAATAAATTAGGGCTGGTTTATGTTTTATAATGATTATAATTTACATGCTTATTTTTAAAATAGTATATGTGCACACATGTATCATTATATTAAAATAAATTCTTTCATTTTAAATTGTTTCTTTGTGAATTTTTATCTCCAGAAAGGGCCCAGAAAGTAATCCCTAGAAAGGAATTTATGATAATTTCATGAATGCATTAGTAAGAAACATTACAGCTGTTTTGCTTCACTGTTTCCAGAATATGGCGCTCACACCATTTGTGAATACTTTCAGCCACAGGAAACCTAACAGTGCCGTAGGAATAATGACACTTAATTATCTTGCATCACAAGAACTCTCCTGTCAGGCAGGCCCAGGGCTGGTGCAGTGGCTTACTGATGTTATCAAAGACCCAGGCTCGGCAGGGCGCAGTGGCTCAC